ACATAATACATTCAACAATAAAAGCACACTTTCAAAGAGCTAATCCCTTCCAAAATACAAAATTGACTTTATCATTTTAAAATTTACCCCTCTACAAAATCATAGACCCATTATATATCAAACCAATTTCCAGCCACACCAGGAATATAAACAACTCATAAAGCTTAAACAGAACTGATAAGGTAGAAAGTTTACACGAAATTCCTAAAAACATCATCCTTGTGAGTTATGATCGACGTTTAACCATGTTTTATGAGTACTAGAGAAACAAATATCTACAAGGTGCACCAATAAAACTTTCAATCAGTCAACCATTCATTTAACTACGATCTCGTATTAACAATTACTCCGTATACCATCAAAGGCAAAATGACACCAAGTCGACCGATGAATTACAATAAAACACTAATAAAATTTAAGCTCGAGCTTCAACAATGACGACCAAAATCGAATTAATCAAGAATATAGCTAAAACATTACACAAGTCATATCGCTAATTAACTTAAAACCATCCAACAATTTCAATACAACATTAACCACTTCAGAAATATCTCTAAATCATAACATAAGTCATTTTATACTTCGTACAACATAACCTATACAATATAAACTGAACCAAATATTAATTTACTTGATTAAAATCAAAGATCAAATAACCTATCAATTCAATTCAATAAAATTAGATAAAATCAAAAGAAAGGGAAATTTAATAGCAAATTCAGAGGAGAGAGAAAAGAAAGTAAACCTTCATGTCCATGTGAGGGAAAATGGCGATGAGATGATCAATCAAGAATAAAGGCGAACCAGAAAATCGAACCGGAGAAGAAGAAGAAGAAAACCGAATTCGCTTCGAAGATGGCGATGGACTTTCCTCGAAAATTGACGATCTCTTCCCACACACTATTGCAGACATGTTGTGGCAAAAAACCCTAATACTATCGACAATCAAACCCAAAATAAAATTATCCCCAAATTATCGATTATTCGCCCAAATTCCTCCAAATTACTGGCGATTCAAGCTCAAGATTTCAAGTCAAATTGAGGGAAAAATCGAAAATTGAAGGAGAAATTTGGGGCGAAATTAGGTTTTTAGCTTCAACCATTTGTTGATGTTGTTGTTCGAAATATAAGATTGATAAAAATTAATTTTTCTGTTTCTTGTTTTGGGAGAAGCAATGAGATAACGCCGCGTTTGGTTGGTGCAAAGAAAGATGGTGTGATTAAAAAGTGAAAGTGAAGAAAAATAGTGGAAAAAGATTCTTCCCAATTTTTTTTTTTAAAAAAACGGTGATAGAAAATGGACAAAAATTATTTTATCTTTAGATTTTTGCAAGTAATGACGTGGTGAGTTGGTGTGGTGAACTAGTGATGATGGAGTAAGAATTTCCAATTTGAGCTTCTTTGTAGACATGGTTGTTTTTGGATATGGATCGGGCTGATATGAGGGTCGGTGATATGTATGGTATGATAAAAGACTTGTCAAGAACTCAAGATATGAAAGGCATGGTATGATCTGATAGTAAAGACAAGAAGGTTGGGTCGCGCATGAGTTCCAGACTTCTAGTTATGAAAAAAGGCACGAGTTTGACACTGCATTGCCATTTTTTGGCTCATTATGTGTAGGTTTTTGGGGAATTTTTTTTTCTTTAGGGCGTATGTTATGAGAAATAAAATATGTGAGTGATTTGAATCGATAAGAATACTATTATCACTTCATAAGTCTTGAGGTGAGAGAGCTTTGACTGAATCTATCACGTTTTGAAGTCTGTTAGTTGTATAGAAGCTTGACTGCTTGAGTTCAATGGTTTTGTGTTAAACAATACAAAATACTTCATAAGTGTTGTGTTCAGTGATTCTAGTTTGATTAAAATATTTTTATACATGATAAGAATCATATTGGTTAATGGTTTAGATCAGCATGACCACATCGTAGCATAAGTTTATCGAACTCTGTTCAAAATTCGATTTTGAGTTGAGTGCATTGACCAGTAGTTCTTTCCTAATACTTCCGCTTATAAGGACAAAACATATATGCATGGTAGAAATTTTCATTTGGAAAGTATTGAAAAAAAATAAATAACCATAAAAATTCATGGATAAAAGGATTTGTTGAATTGTGTTGCACATAAAAAGCAAGAAAATGAAATATTAAAGCAATTAAGTATCAAGTGCCATCAATTTTTAAATTTGTACCATTTTAGAAAATGTGTTTAATGTTCATATACAATTTTCTCTCTCTTAAAGGCTGCATTACCCTAGATAAGAATATACTAAAATGTTTGACCGATCTATAATCATTAATGAAAAAAATAACAAAACTTTACATAGATAAATATATAATAACTTTTCTCGACTAATGACAACCCCAGATATCTTATCCATGTTCGATATTGGCCATTGGAAAAATGAGTCAAAACATATATTATAAATTAAACTATGTATTTAATCGGGTGTTTACCTAATTTTCACTACAACTACTTACCTTTATTCGGTGTATTAATCCTAATTAAAAAATACGTTGTATCATTCTTTTTATTAGCCCCACTCATTTTTATCATACTACGTATATGATTTTTCTTAACATAACTCGCCTTTTAATAGGTTTATCCATTAGATAACGAGATTTGTTTCTTAATTAACAAGCCCATTTGAATGTCCAATAATATAGTAGGCCTAGATAGTGAATTTTTCTCCCCTTATTACATCTAAATGATCTAATCAAGAACATGAGTTTTTTTATGACATTTTTATTTTTCCCTAGGGTAGATAGCTTAATTTGCAAGTGATTCAACTCAAATTCTAACTACTCATCATCTAAGTAATCTATCAAGCCCTTTTTACTCACCTTTTTGCATAAATGGTGAGAGCCCATGTGAGAAGGGCCTACAAACTTAGTGGGGGCAAATGGTATCACGTACTCGATCTTTTCTAGCAAAGGACTATCTAGTCAAGTTGAAAGGCAAAAGGTCTTTGATTTTTTAGACCAAAAACATCTATAATGTCCTTGTTGATTTTATGCAAATTTTAATTATTTGTGTAGTCTAGTTACATTTTTCTTTGAAATTATGAATGATTTTCTCAAAACGCCCACTTTTAATCGGATCTAAGACTTGTATAAAAAAGACAAGGATTATATTATTTATATATAGTATAAAATATGGAGAATAGTTTGTCCAATATTTTATAAAAATAACATACAAAGTATATTAATGTAATGTTTCTACAAAAAAGATATTATAGGAGGTATTTTATATTAAATTTAAATGAGGCTTTGCACCTAATAAAGTAAAAATTTGGCGCAAATCCTTGTATAAAATGATGAACAAAAATTCCATCCTTTTTCACTCTTCTAATTTAATAACTCGCCCGTCAAAAAAAATAATAATTTAATAACTCGTACAACCTAACTAATTTACACAAGTGGTTTTTTTTTGTTTTTTTTTTTTATTTTTTATTTTTTTTTAATCCATTCAATAAGTATCATTAGACACCTTATGAGCAAAAAAAATCTTATTATAAGATCTCCCACCAATCCACCTATTATTGATATTAAATGTATAGATCATAAGAGCATGTTTGAATATGTGATTGTGAAAAAAAAGAAATGAAAGAAGATATGGGCTATTTATTTGCCTCCATTAAATGGGAGTATGGTTTGCATGACCGGTTTAATTTATTTTCTCAACTTTTATTTATGCGTATAGAAACTATGGAATATTAGATCGAGTATCTAATGTGGTTAGAAACAATACATTTAAATATATTTAACTAGCAAAATATTTATGAGAGTGAGGGATAGCTCACGTGGGTAAAACTTCCCTCCCGATTTTAGGGTACTATGAGATCTATTTTCACCCTAGCCCTTATGACTCCTAAAAAAAAAAACTAGCAATATTTTCTCCTATATAGATTTTACAAAGTCTATCTAATTAAGTACACAGTGAAAATTATAGACGATAATTTTTTATTATTTTTTTAAATAAAGGCAAGTGAATAGCTTTCTAACTTCAAAACGTGTTAGTTAAAATATAATTACAAGATTGGCAACCATCAAGAAGTGGCAAGTTATTTTATTTGGTTGCCCTAAAATGAGTCGTGTTGTAGATTACTTAGCTTGATATTGTATGATCAATGACTTCTTTAGTTCTTAGTGCTAAATCTACTAATCAACCCACACTCGATCTATATTTTAATACTCGTACAATTATAATACAAAGTTCTAGAGGTCTATAACTACTTAGGCAAACAAAATAGTGCTTATTACTATTAGCCCTCTATTAACTTTATCAAATGATCATAAGATTTATTTGGTATAAAAAAAAGTGGAGATCGATTAAAATAATCTTAATTTTATCCGTTCTTTAAATTTTAACATTTTTGATATACATAGTATGTGATGGATAATTTGATATACTGTATGAGTAGTATAATTTTTTAAAATCTAAAGCATACATTGAATGCATTTAATTAGTTCTAATATTGTGTATAAAAAAGTTAAATTATATTGTTGTGCATACATTGAATGCATTTAGTTCTAATATTGTGTATAAAAAGTTAAATTATATTGTTGTGCATGCAATGAAAATTATTTTTAATTTGAAGATGGTGGGGAATCAATGAGATAGGATTGCACTAAAATATGGCTAAATATGCTTCTGACCCTCTTTATCCCAAATTTGACCATAATCCTTTTCTCTATGCCTTTTATCCTTGGGTGATCTTGAAATCCATCATCTAGTAGGCTTTACCATTTAGTTAGGAGTGCCAAACTACTAGGTAGGGCTAAAATGAGTTTAGAAAGATTATATATACTGATATACCAAAAGCTAATTTTAAGCATAAAAGAAGCTAAACACAACACAATACTTTTAACGTTCGGTTGTTAGTTAAAAGATGAGGCATAGTGTCTTTGTCACATTCGCCTCATTGCAAGAGTTTACTAAAGTTGGCTAGCGCAAAGGTATGCAGGTCAGGCCACTTATCGTATACGTCTCACATGGTTGCACGAGAAGAGGTTTTTGCATCGTGTTGACAAGATTGATTGTTGGCCCCAAAGCACAATACAAGACATGACTCAAAATGTCAACAATATGAATTACTTTTTTTTTTTTGGTGAAAGAGAGGGGCAAGGCCCCTAAACATCAATTACTCATTTACTCTTTCTTAATTATTGAGCACCAATCCTACCTTTTTTTTTCATAACATAACATGTACTAACTTTTACCTAATTAGTTTTTTACCTATTTATTTCCTAAGGGAGCAATGTTCTTACACTTTTTTTTATTTCCATTTTCGTTTATAAAAACAAAAATTCAAGCAACGATATTTATACTAATAACTTATAATAGGAATATTTGCATATCGCTTATCATCTCTCTCTATTTCTTTTTATATAAATATAGCTATTATTACATAAACTTGATATTTTAAAACACTCAAACTATTACACGGGCTAAAAACTAGTTTATTTTCGAAAATCTCCCATAATTTATTTTAAACCCACTTAAAAAAAGAAAAAGAAAAAAAAAAGTTTTGGTAACAAAATGGAGTGATGATGGTGATGATTGATGATACCCTGCAATCTCCAACACCAACAAACAACAACAATTCCTTTCTCTCTCTCACTCTTTTTTATTTTAATTATTTTTAATCTCTCTTTCTCATACAATTACACTCTCTTTTTCCCTCTTTTTTCCATTTCTCTCTCCTCTTTCTTCCCCTGCAATTTTACTGATACATAACTACCCCATGAAAGTCACATCCAATCAGAATTTTTCGGACCAAAAATTCTCCAAAAACAAAAAAATTGAAATAGATTAATTTAAAGCATAAAAAATGGAGAAGAAGAAGAAGTGTGGTTGCTGGGCAGTTTTGCGCAGAAATGTTACTAGTTCTTGCAAACCTTCTCCTAATTCCAAAAATTCTGCTAATTCCATCCCTCGTTCTAGCCTTGTTTATGATGCAGGTTTTTTTTTCATAATTAATTTCTCTTAATTGTGTGTTTTTTTTAATAACTTTTTCTGGGGTGTTTGATGATCACTGGGTTTATTAAATTTCTGGGTATATTCCCGTTTCTGGGTTTTTGAAGTTGCTGTAATTCTGTGCAAAGTTGTTGTCTTTCTTATTATTTCTGTATTATTTTTTCATATTTCTAAACACGGGAAGAATTTACTACCCTTTTCTTTTGATTGAGTAATTTTGCTCAAATTTGATCATCAAACTGCTTAAATTAAAAAAGATCCAAAATTTATAACCCAAATAAGTCAGAATTTGGTCTAAAGTGGTAATTTTGATATGGGGTGTGTCAATTTTCACCGTTTTATAAAGTATAACTGTATTTATGTGCAATTTATGGAAATTCCTAAATTTACTATCTTTGGGTCATTTGCAGTTATTTTTTGAAATTGAATAATCTTGTACTGAAGTAGAATGATCAATTTTACTTCTTTTTTGGCTTTTTTTTTTTTTAATAAATGCAAATTATATGATATGATTATTATGATGAAATTTACTCTATTTGGGTCCTTTTCTGATATTTTAAGAAATTGGGTATCTTTGTATTGAAGTAGAATTGTCAATTTCATTAATTTTTGCCTTGATTTTTAATAAATGCTGTTTATATGACTACCTGATGAAAATGTAGTTTGTGAATTAATTTTTATTTTTTGTGATTGTGTATTGCAGCTGCTGAAACCAGGTATTTGAATGCTAGTAATAGGGAAATGTGTGTACCAAATGATGATGTTCAACTTCCTATTGAGCCTCCTGATCCACCACCTTCTGAGACCAAACCCCCTCCTCAACTCCTGCAGTTTACATTTCAGGAATTAAAATCCGCCACCGGGAACTTTAGGCCTGATAGCATACTCGGGGAGGGCGGTTTCGGGTTTGTATTTAAGGGGTGGATAGAAGAGAACAGCACATCACCTGCTAAACCGGGGACCGGAATTACTGTTGCTGTCAAAAGTTTGAAGCCTGATGGTTTACAAGGACATAGAGAATGGGTGGTTAGTGTTGATTTAATGAGGTTTATTAGGAACATTTTGAAAGTGATTTGCATAATGTAGTGTGCTTAATTCAGTATGTTTGATGTTGATTGTAGGCTGAAGTTGACTTTCTTGGGCAACTCCATCATCCCAATCTTGTTAAGCTTATTGGGTATTGTAGTGAGGATGATCAGAGACTTCTTGTGTACGAGTTTATGACTCGTGGTAGTCTCGAAAACCATCTCTTTCGAAGTATGTTTTCTCTCAATTATTGGGTGTTCTAACCCATGATTGTTAGGCATTTTTGTTAGGATGTCAAGTGTCATGTTCTTGTGTTTGTTGAGTAAATTGACCTTGTTAGCTGAATTGCTGCTGACTTTTAGGTTCTTCTAACATGATTTTGACCTTTCTTGTATTATAGTATGTTCATGGTATTTTAAATTATATGAACTGAAGTTGCTTAACTAATAGGTTGACTAATCTAATAATTTATGCATTTATCATTCTTTGAAGGAACTATGCCTTTGTCATGGCCCTGCCGAATGAAGATAGCCCTTGGTGCGGCTAAAGGATTGGCATTTCTTCATGGGAACGGGGAGCCTGTCATTTATAGAGATTTTAAGACCTCGAATATTTTGCTTGATACGGTATTGTATTGAACTTTTTTGAGTAACTAACTTGATTTTCTTTCTGTCAATCTGTTGTATTCTATACCACTAGTCCACTACAGCACTAACTTCAAAGTTTTGCATTTTATAGGAGTTCAATGCAAAGCTTTCGGATTTTGGTCTTGCTAAAGCAGGGCCTCAGGGGGATAACACCCATGTTTCTACACGAGTAGTAGGAACTTATGGTTATGCTGCACCAGAATATGTGATGACAGGTACATATTCCTTAACCCAAGATAATGTTAATAGATTTAGGAAGTTGTTGCATTTGTATCTAAACCTTCAAGTATTTTACGTTGCAATTTTGAATTGACATGTAATGGTGTATTGATCATTTTAACAATGACAAATACATGTAACATGGAAAACAACTTGCTAATCTTATGAAATGATTGGAATTATGAATGGTCTTGTGTAAAAGTTTACAAATGACTTGAATTGTTTCAAGGGTTCAAGCCGTTTGTTATGTGTACCTATAGGGTTTAATGCAGTTGAAATTATAGGTAAAAATACACGGTCATAGCAATTATAGGTCATAGATACACGGTCTCAGCAATTACCATCCCCTTATATAATCTTATATGCATTTCTTGTAATTTAATGGAACTATAGCCTAAAATGAGAAGGAGGAGAAAAGGAACAATAGAAATTTTTTAGGGACCAAAATTTATCCTAATTTGCTTTCATTTCTCTGTTTAGGGCACTTGACATCTAAGAGCGACGTTTACAGCTTTGGTGTAGTGCTACTTGAGATACTAACCGGGAGGAGATCAATGGACAAAAAACGCCCTAGTGGTGAGCAGAATCTTGTGACTTGGGCTCGACCATATTTAACTGACAAGCGGAAGCTATATCAAATAGTTGATCCTCGCTTGGAGCTGAACTACTCCCTTAAAGGTGTGCAAAAGGTCTCTCAGCTGTCTTATAGCTGCCTTAACCGAGACCCTAAATCCCGCCCTTCAATGGATGAAATTGTCAAGGTCCTCATCCCATTGCTAGACCTCAACGATATGGCCATCATATCATATCAATCACGACTATCTCAACCAGGAAGACGAAGGAAGAAATCTGATGGACATGTCCTTAATATGTCCTCCCATCCCCTTCAGATTAGAAATATTAGGGACTCTCCCTTGAATTCTGGTAAGCACCGCCCTTGCTAATTCACTGGAATTTGATCAAATATTTTTTCATCGAGTTGTTCAATCAGCTCGGATAATTGTGTTATTGGGAGATTCTCCAAAAGCTTGAGGTTGTTGTAATAGGAGGAATCACAATGGAGTTGATCACGTCTAATGATAGCTTCATAGATCCTCTCACCCCCCAAATTTTTTTTAGCTTGCATTGTAGTTATTGAAATACATAGATGTAATAGTAGCATCTCTTGAATTGCTCCAAGAATCGTCTTGATTTAGTGTGCTAGCTAGCCTTGTTTCGCTTGAGCTTGGGGATGACCATTTCCCCTGGGTTTACTTAATATATGATCAAAGATGTTGTGATTGTTCTTGGAGCTAATTTTTGCTGTGGTTCAGTTGCTTCCTTTTGAGAAGGTCTAAAGGACTATAAACTATCATATTATTCATGTGCTCGTCCCATCAAGATTGCCTCATTTTCATTTCTCGTGATAATTTCTTGGGTTAAATGGAGGTAATCTTAGACTATTAATGAAATAAAGGGAGTAAGAATTTCTTGGATTAAGTTGCACATGCTCGACAAGTAATAAGGGGAGGGATTTTCATGCATGCACAATTCCTTTGTTTCCAATTGAACGAAATGTCCCAAATATTGTTATAATAATTCCAACTTTAATTGTTATTCCCATTAAATTTAATGATAAGATAATGAATATTTTCAACGATAATGCAGTTTGTATATTCGTGTAGTTGAAACTTTGAACACCTCATTATAAAATGGATGAAACTATAAACTATAAAAAGTATGATTACAAACACCAACACGCAAAAATAATGATTTTAAAAGAAAATACTACCTCCATTTATATATATATATATATATATATATATATATATATATATATATATATATATATATATATATATATATATATATATATATATATATATATATATATATATATATATTCGTCTTTGGCCATCTTTTTTTTGACTTTAAGTAAAATAACATTTTTAATAAAACTCATAATGTACGTTCAGGTAAATCCAACAACAATAATACTTATTAACGCTTTATTTCAAGTATCTTAATTAGTAGTGTGTTCTACGAGCCGTATATCACATTCACGTATGTTCGTACACACTGATTTTGAATCACAAGACACAGTAACCCTAGGTACATGCTTGTATATATGTTATGCATAATTAATACTCCATCCATAATTAAGGTGTTTATGTCTATAAGATTAGTAAAGCATATAATAGTGATTAGTGAAAGAACAGGCGCATGGTCTTTTAATTTGAATGGAATATTGTTCATAAAAGAGTGTGAAACACACCAAATCAAAGCATGCATGCGCTTATTAAGCATGTTAATAGGCACAATGCACATATACTTTGATCAAAGATATAAAAAGCACAATAATATAAAGTTACAATTTTTTTTTAACATAATTACATGTAGTTGTATTATACATTTATACTATATGCTTTTTAGTTTTTAGTCTATAGGAATATAACAAAATCAGTAGCACTCAACTTTATCTTTATGTGGTGCATATATATATTATAATGTTTTTATAATTAATCCAAAGAGTATCCTTTTCGCTGTTTGGTCCAAATCGATGTCACACATTATTTAATATATGCCTCTAGAATCTAAATCTTAAGCTTGTAACATCATGTTTTACCGAATATAATTTTCCATCCAGTTTATTTTTAATTGACACATTTTAAATTTATGCATATTCACATAAGTTATGCATGCTTAATATTCAGTATAATAAATTTTATACTAATAATTAAAGATCCTAATACGATATTATGTATTGACAAACGTGTCTTAAAGAAATACGTCAACTAAAATGAGACGGAGGAATTATATTACTATAATTTACTTTTGAAAATTAGGACCTATTCAACCTGTTCACTCAACGAAAAAAACCAAGAAAAAAATAATTCAACATTGGAATAAAAAGGACAAGAAGAAAAAAGGGGGAATTTTTTTGTGCTAAAAAAAGATAAATTTTGCCAATCAGTTTGTCGTGGTAAAAGTGACAAACTTGAACATTATGCTGGTGAAGATGATTATGATGTTTGAACCTTTTTCTAAGTGAGTCTTTCACTTTTCTATCAAAAGTTTTTCTTTGATTACTTTCCTCCCCCTAATTTACTCTTCTTCAATTGTTAAACTACTTCGTCTATTCTCGTTTTATTATACATTGCATACTCATTCCGTTTGAAATAACTTAAACAAGTGTGTCATTTTAACTGATATATTTGTCAATGAACAATCAGTTTAATCATTGATATATTTTATTGTCTATTAGTTAAAAATGTATATTAAAAGTTAATATTATAAAATTTGCATTATGGTCAATCCAACAACATTTTATATAATAACAATTTATATGTTAATTAGTTTTGGCATGTACGAATGCACGGATTGATATCAGTTTGTTTGGAATAATGAAATGAGAAGGAAAATAAGGGGAGGCAATGATTTATGATTTTTTTTTAATAATGTATAATGAATATCCTTGAAATTCTTGTGTGTATATTAATAATTAATGTTAAACTAATAACAAACTTTTTTGAAACAAACTAATTTATTTTTATTAAAAAAAAAACATTTTGGAGGAAAAAAATTTCATAGAATAGTGCCTAGTGTCCTATTTGGTGATTTTTTTAGTATATAGTATTGATGATTATAATATATAGTCAATGTAGTTTTTGAATAAAACAAAATTCAAAGTGATGCACTTATTTAATTAAAAAGAAAAAAAAAAACAAAAACTCATGGAGTAACATGTAAAACTATATACATATCACACTTTAACCTATTTATATATTAATGTATAAAAACAAATGTTATTAAGTTTTAAGTTGTTGATTTAGTCTAAGTGTCTAACTGTTTAAATGTATACAAAGTACTTTTAAATCATCAATATTATATAATGTATTTTAATAATGATAATGGATGATATTAATAGTAATTTGTTTATTTCTCAATACATACAATATCTTTACTTTTTGTATAGTTTATATACTAACTTTGACTATATGTACTAAGACTACTACCTTCGATTTTTTTTAGTTGCAACTTTGGGATATTATTTGTGAAATATAAAATATTCAAAGTTGTAACACATAAAAAAAATAAAAATAAAAATAAAATCAAAGGTAATAATAATAATATGTAAAAAATAATAGTTAAACTTGCCCTATCATGGGACGGGTCAAGCTTAGAAATTTTTTGGCCCATCTAAAGCCAAAAGCTCGGGGCTAGGCACAAGATCAATCCAAAATATAGTCATCAAAACCCACTATTTCGGGGCATTATCTAGCCGTTTTTAATTTATAACTAAAATTCATATTTTAGGACATTAGTTTTCTTGACCCAATTTTTTTTTTTTTTTTTTTTTTTTTGGATGTTATCAATAAACGGTGTAGCTAGTCACATACAAGTATAAGTTTGTTCATCACTCAAACATTTTTTTTAAACCAAATTATCATTTAAAAATATATGGAGTATTTGGTTTGGATCTGAAGAAGATCTAGGCTAGGTGGGCCGAGCAAGCATAGTACATAAGCTATTTGGACCAGCTCACAATGAGGTACAAGCGTGCTAAATTAAGGAAAGTTGTGGGCTTAATTGTCTAATTAACTCATCTTTGACCAACAAACTTGCTAGCAAAACTCTTAGCTTCCACATAATTTTGAACTATTATTAATGGTGGTGCAATTACAACTTTTTTTTCTTATTTTTTTTTCAAAAAAAAATTACATAAGGGGGTTGTTGATGGCGTTCATGGAGGAAGAAGAAGCAAGTGTGGTGTGTTACTGTGCTTGTGTTTGGAGGATGAAGATGAGAGAAATACGGAGTATTTTTTTTTTTAATTGTTGATATTAACATAATTTGTTAATTTATATAGGATATTAACTTAGGGCCTGTACATAATTCAATTCAGTTCACTTCAGCTCAATTCAATTAGCTCCAATCCATTCAGTACAGTTTAGTTTAGTTTACCTCCTAATTTCCTTCTCTTATAAAATATTTATTTTAGCTCTATTCAGTTCAACTCCAATCAGTTCATTTCAGCAAATGTGAACATGCCCTTAGTCTAGCTCAAAACTATGTACTTGCACGCAATATTATAGCTAACTCTGTCGATGCAGGAGACAACAAAACTCCCAATTAGTAAATGAGGAATATTATGAGCACAATATTTGTCTGTGAGTGTCCGTTCAAAAAAAATAAAAAAATCTGTGAGTGTTTGAACCATTAAACTTAAACACTTAATGTGTGTATTAGTAAAACAAAATAATCAGTTGATACATTGTTAAAAGTACATGCTCTTACAAATCTAAGAACTCTGATTACTTGAGTTATGTAACATCTTCATAGACCGTATATATGTACATTCAAGTATATATCTTATACAATTTCTTTCTTTTTTTTTTTTTTTTTATAAACATATCTTATACAATTTCAGTTGTTATGCTAGCACACAACCACTAGATTATAGCATCAGTCTTGAAAATTCAAGTGAACTTGCTATATAACTTGCATGGTGTTCCAACAAGCATCATAACCACATTCCCACAATATACATACAGAGGTACGATCCTATAGAACAGATCCTGTTCAAGTAACGTCGTCACAATGTTCATACAAAAACACTAGCTTGAGCCAATAACTTTACATGAATTGTGTGCAAATATTGTAGCCATCGATTAATATGTTGCCATTGCATCATGGATCGCGCAGTTGCTCCATGGTGGATGTCGTGCCTAATGCTGGAACAAAAGGCCAATGCACAAAGAAATACAGTAAATAAATCAATTGTGCAAGCAACCAACAACCTAACATTGATGAGTGAGGGATAGCTCAAGTGGTTAGAGGTTCCATCCCGGTTTCAGGAGATCTTGAGATCGATTCTCACCCCACCCTGGCTCTCTAACCACACACACAAAACCAAAAAAAAAAAAAAAAACCTTACATTGGTAAGATAATAACAAAACAGTTGATTAGTTGCATTATTGTTATACTTGAATGCCTTACACATATTGAATCAAATCCGTTGTGCACATTATTAATTGAAACAGGAGTAATACCGTAGCCAAAATGACTAAATAACACAACGTCAACATTCAACACTACCTCAATCACTCAATGTCTTTATATTGGGTTTCGCCTAGGGTAGGGGTTCAATCGATAACCAATCTTACACTTGCAATAATAGATAGAGAGGTCGTTTTCAGTTGACTAGATACAAAATTCTACGATCATCAGTCATTTCACACTAAATAATTGATAAATTGAGTCAAGTAACTATACCTACAAACATATCAAGTACATAAAATAT